TGGTTATGGAAGGCAGTCAGTGATGGCTTTTTTCCTCTTTCCCCCCCATTTATTATTTCCCCCATTTCTCTCAAATGAAAACTTTTCTTCTTGTTCTTCTGATTCTCTTCATCTCACTGGAGTGGGGTGTGAGTGATAGTCTGCGTGGGTACTCAGCTGCTGGCTGAATTCAAACTACCCCACACATCAGCACTAATATATATTGAACACAGATATGTTCCCACGTTTTTGTAGAGAAACAGATATTGGTGGCTTTTGCCCAAATTGGCTTTAAATGCAGATAATGGAAGAAAGATTATATTACTTACCCTGAGTAATTCCATTGGCTTGTTGGTAAGGTCATCTTTTAAAGGGTCAAAATTAATAAATAAAGAGAAGAAAGAAACAAGCAGCTAGGGACCTCCATAGCACAGTGCAAGTCCTCAAGCTTTTGAAGCCTATTTCCTTCATTGTGAGCAGTTCCCCAATACTGGTTCCCAGGAGCTGTGCTTATTGCCATTTTTAATTCATGTATCGGGCTCTATGGCTTGGGGAAAGGTGGCTGAAAACCGTGGGCAAGCTTCCTGTGGTTGGTGCATGGGGCAGAAAAGGTTTCAAAGATCATGAAAGTAGGTCTGTAGGCAGGAAATGGAGTCTGTGACCCCAGTATACCAACACAAGCTAGCAAAGAGCTCTCATTTTTTCATATGTAAATCTGTCCACAGTTGGGTTTTTTTTGTTCTGCAGTGTGCTGCCCAGTGCTCATCCTTTTGCTCATTATTAGTTACTTTCTTTAAATATGTGGACAGGGCTGCTGATGAGCTGTGTAAATCTCTGTGCTGATAAAGCAGGATCACTTAGAGGGGAGATGAATTTCATGAAGTGGGTCAGTGCTAGCCTTTCAGACATCTATCTGAATTGATCACCGTTCTCTTTGGCTGCTGCTCCTCTTCTCCAATATGGGTGTCTCCTGATGGGGGAGCACGACTGCCATTGACTCGGTATTTCTTGCTCATTGTGAAGTTCACTATTAACCTGCTGAAGAAACTGCAATATCTTTTCACTTTAATTTGTGGATAAGAGTAACGTATCTACTGTGGGGTATGTGCAAAGCACTTTGGCACCTTGGAATTGGCACGATCTGGAGGAGGGTTTAATGAACTAAAGTAAATTTCCTTTGTAGTAAAATTTTATGAGGACAAAAGATTGCTATACCACCAAATACTCGGGAGAGCTGCTGAGCACTCTTGTGATTTATGGGCTCAGAGATTCGTAATAATTTTCTGAACAATAGGAGCCCCTTCAGGGATGTGTTTTCAATGTGGAGAGAGACTTCTCTTCCCCTTTCTGTTTATGTTTTTCTCTACTTTCACTTCAGTCAAATTGTGTCATGACTTGAGTTTGTTGCATTGGGCAATCTTGAAGACCTGCTGGCTGTAGTATAAACAAGAGGTGCATCATATCAGACCTAAATTTAGTGGGTTAGTACACTTTTACAGTGGGATGTAGGATTTGAAAATACCAGAAAATCTTAAGCTGTATTAGTGAATTAGTCACCGAGGATAAGAAAAAAGCCAATTCCTGTCAATTACACAGAGATGTTACAGCAGAGTATTTGGCCAACAGTGCAGTTTCTGGAAATAAGTGAACAAACAAAAGCATTTGAGATGTGTATGTGTAAAACACAGTGAAGAAGGAAGTTATTGCAGGACTAGGAGGTAATTTATTTCCAAAGGAAAAAGAATAATTTTTCTGATTATCTCCCATCTCCACTTCTGTCTTGAAAACTGAAACAGTTTATTGAATTTTCAGGTCATTTAGTTTTGTGTAAGCTCAGCTTTAAATTGCATTTTCCAGAGGGTTTGTATTGCCTTGAGGGAGCTGTAATTCAGCCTGACCTATTTCCCAGCTCTGTCCTGCAGCCTGGTCCTCCTGTTTTCCTTTTCTCCCAGCTGAGCTGCTTGGTACCCTCAGGGCTACCTGCCTCTGGGGTGTCCAGGGAAGTGCTGCAGCCTGCCCTGTGGGAGGAGGAGGAGGGACTCTTCCCATCTGAGCGATGCTCCCTGGAGCCAGCAGTATGAGCCTGGAGAAAAATGCAGTTCAGCATTCAGCTGACTTGAAATTAATTTTTGGGGGGTTGATTTCATGAACAGACAAGACAGTTTCATTTGGGACTATGAAGGTGTTTTCTTCATTTTTGTTAAAGAAAAAAAATGCTGAAGTGAAAGTTTTTTTTTCTGAATCAATACCACTTGAAACTTTCTTTTCTCCAGAGCAAAATGTTTTCATCTTAATTTAAGTGAAAGTCTGGGCTGTGGGGTAGAAATTCTAGATTTCCCACACTTCAGGTGAAGAACAAAATGTATATGTATTTTTTTTTAAGCTGCACGCGAAATGTGAAAACTCCGATTTTCAATTGAATTCAGCTTTTAGAATGAAAACTGTCAAAATTTTAATATGAAATTACTATGACACAGAAAAGGCATGGTTATTAGTTAGCACTGATGTTCACTTTGTAAAAAAGTTTAGCTTGTGTTCATTGGAATCAAATGTCTTGACTTGAATCAGTGAAGGTCTTTCTTCTTTCTTTCAACTGTCAGAATTCAATTTTGTACATAAGAAAAAATGCATAATTTTCTTTTACTTCCATTCTGCTGAAATGTTTCTGCTGAAATATTCATGTACACAAACATGCTGGGAAATGGGGTACTTGCTTAGAGCTGCCCATTCACCCTTAGAATTACACCATCATAGAATGTTTGAGGGAAGGGGCCTTTAAAGGTCACCTAATCTAACTCCCCTGCAAGAACAAGGTCACCTCTAGCTCCATCAGGTGCTCAGAGCTCCTCCAGCCTGACCTTAGGTGTCTCCAGGGATGGGACACCCACCTTGCTGGTAGTCGCTTAGTGGCATGGCTGGCTCCATGACATAGAGGTCTCTGAACAGCCTCTTGAAATGCTTTGAGGTTTTCCCTTTGCAAGGCTGTGTCAAAAGGACCCTTTGAAAACAGATCAGTAACCAGACATATCTTTGGGCTCTGACTTGTGCCTTAACCTCATGTAAGCTGCCTCCCTAGTAGCACCATTTGCACCTGCAGTCTCCCGCTGTGAAGCTGCGGGGAATGTGCCCTTGCAGTGTTTGTCGGGTAGGCTGTATTCAAATCTCTCCAATCTTCTCTGGTCTTCAAGCTTCCAAACTGTTGTGAGCATTACCTGTATTGAATTTCAACAATATTATCTCAAAAGTCAGTGGGATGGGATAGAGGTCTTTGGGACTTACGAGGTGAGTGGTTCTGTGGGCAGTGTGCTGCCTGCGGCTGCCCTGTGGTAGTGGGGCGTCAAGAAACTCCTGCTGCTTCCTGGTACTCTCTGTGAGACTGAAGTGCTAAGGCATGGTTATGCTTTTGTTCTCCACACCTTGACAAAAGGCAGAGCTGGATTTTTGTTAGGCATCCTGGGTGGAAATTTCAACGAGTCCTACTAAACAACATGCCTTTACTTTGGATTAATACCCAGGAGCTGAGTAGGATTCAACCTCCTCCTGCAGAGCTGGCATTATCCTGCTGTTTGCAGGGTTTAAAGCAGGCCACTGACATCTTCAAAAATACAGAGCACAGGGGATGTGAGGAGAGGCGTACAGGATGCTGGGGGATTATGGTTGCTGCCTCCATTTGGAATTGCAACTTCAGGAAGAATTATCCTGATCAAACTTCAGCAGAACAGAGAAGAAAGGCTTAACTTAAGAAGTTTAGAGATCCAGGATCTGCTGGCTTTATTGAAAGTCCTGCTTCCTGGTTTCATAGTGATTAGGTGTCAAAAGAGGGAAACTACCTCTCTGGAGCTGTGAGCAATAAGAAGGGAGTTACTTCTGGCAAGGCAGTGCTTGTGCTGTGGGGCATGGCTTCCAAGAACCTCTTGAGAGAATCTCTGGAGTTGTAGGGTGTATTCTAAAAACATTGCTCGTAAGGTTTTAGTTGCAGGCTGTACTGCTTCCATTAGTTGGTGTAAAGGGATGCTGTGTGGATGTACCTTGATGGTGGTGACTGGCAGCTGGTACTTCTCCATTTGTATGGGAAGGTGTGTGCAGGATTTAAGTTGCAATAAAAAAAGGCATTGTCCTTATTTCCCCACTGCACGGAAACAGTTTAGGCTGACATGGACTTGCATATGCTGACTCAAATCTGCCTGGCAGGTTTCTCTTCGCACCCTGCTGGAAACAGCTTGGCTTTTATCTCCTTCCTAAAGGTCTCTGCGTGGGGAAATAAAGGGAAAAATGCAATCGGGGAGGGGGCTGTGAATCCAGTAGAGAGATGGATGCTCAGAGCATCTTTTTGAAAGCCATTAAGTTGGGCACTGATTGCATAGTCACGTATCAAGGTCCTTACAATTTGAACAGGTCTCTTCCCGGTATTGTGCTGACAGTAACAGACTGCTGCAGCCTTTATGATATTGATTAATCCTTTGGTATTTTTCCTTTCTGCAGAGCTTTTAAACTCCTCACCCAGGATCTGGGTCTGGATCTTCACCCAGCAGCCTTGCAGCTGGGAAACCCAAATAAAAGGAGTGGCAAGTCCCATTGCTGTGGGAGGAGGAAAAGGGAGGGAGAGAACAGGTCTTTTGGAAAAAGGGAGGTAGAAAGGTCCTCGTTGCAGCAAAGGTAGTTTGGGCAAAATGGCTTGCTTTGCTGGATAGGGATCTTCATAAACAAACTTGCCATTACTATCCATGATGATTAGGTAGTTCACATCAGCATCTTGAGAGAAAAAGGAAAATGTCAAATGTAATCTCTGATTGGGCTGTTGGATTAACAAGGATGCATCCAGTTCCATTCCTGACCTTGAATGTTACTGGTTACATGATGCATTAAGGGAATTTTTTTTTTTTTTTTTTTTTTTTTCATCTCATAACACTGCAACCTTAATGAATAAATTCTAAGCCTTCCTTTGGGTGATTTCAGATGCCTTCTGTATTGTTACACAGTCTAAAGGAAACTTTTTTTTTTCTTTCCCCTTTCTCTTCTAGGTGATACTCATTCTGACAAAGCTCTATGACTTCAATTTGGGAAGTGTTACTGAAAGCTCACTGTGGAGGTAAGCAGATCATGCAGAACACAGTACTGGTGTGGATGTGTGCACTGTGTCTCTTGTAAAACTGGAGGGTGAGTGAGGGGGATTGAAGATGATCTGGGGAGGAGAGGGAAGGGAGTATGAGGTAGAAGTGAAGTTGCTTTTTGAAAGAGGACACGTGATTGAGAAAGCATTGATTTAACAAAATGAGGTCTGCATATGAGAGGCTTTCTTCAGGTAAGGCATTTCCTTGATGCCCAGAGGTGGTTGGTTTCATTCAGTCCTTTTGAATGTCCTCTTTTCATTTTCAAGAACCTCTGCCACTATGCTAGTAATGAGAGTATTCTCTGTAGATGGCAACATGCTTGCTGGAGCAAGTGTCCAGGATGATTTACAACTGAGTTTCTGGTATGATCTTAGTTAATCTCAGTCATGTTCCTCTGCCTTGTGAGGTGGTCATCTCAGCAGTGAATCGGTGATGCTTGAGGCTTTGAGGGCAGTAGCCACAAAAGTACTAGAGATCACAGTGAGGTACTGGCATCTCCTGTACTATGGGTTAACTCTGATAATGTCACATGCCTGTCATCTATCATGTTTCTGATAGTGAGCAAGAGGTGGAATGTCTTGGCTTGGGAAAGCACGCTACTGGACAGAGTGTATGTGTGTTAAATGAGGGAAAAAAACCCCAAACATGCAGAACACCCCTGGAAAAAAAAAAAAAAATAACTAAAGGCAGCCTAATTCCCTAATCTCTCCAAATCAGCAATAGTTTCTACCTGCTAGGAACTGTTCTCCCTTCTTATAGCCCACCTGTGATGTGAAAAGGGCATGACTTTAGTGGAATTGTTATTATTATTAGGTGGTTTTTACTGTATGGACCAAAAAAAAAAAAAAAAAAAAAAAGGAGAGGGGGAAGGAGTGGTAGAGGCATAGGGGAACCACAGGGCCTTGTATTAGATTTACCTTTTCCATCATGGATGTTACTCAACCTCCAGAAATCATAGTTGGTGAAAGTTGTCACTGTTGAACTGTTGTTCTGGGTGTAAGAAAGCAGCTTCTGGCCGGGTGATCTATTGTCCTTTCTTCCAAGTTAATTTAAAAGCCCCTGTTTTGAAAGTATGTTGTAGGGTCATCTCCATTAATACACTGAAGGGTTAATTGTTTAGTAGAGCTCTTGAAACTTCTCAGTTTGCACGGTTACTCCAAAGCCTAATTGCACTGCACCGTGGTAATCTGCAAAAGTATAAATTACCATGCAGCTAATAAGAGAGAACACAGTAATTTCCACTTACTTCACACTTTTCAAGATATTTAAGGCTCAAAACTTTTGCCTCTTTACCTAGCAAGTACAAATGGTGCTGTAATTGTACTTTAAATGTAATTGCTTAGCAATCTGCTCTACATAAATAATGCAACAAGCAGACAAATTCTGTTCTGATACTGATCTCACAGCAGCACCTGAGCTCTGCAGAAAGGTAACAGCAGTATGTTTCCTGGAGCTTTCCCAGTGGCAGAAATAAGGTAGTTGATAATCTTGGGAAATGCTCTGACGTGTGAATGGGTTTCAGGTGGTTCTGGAAAACCTCTGTTTCTCTTCTGCGGTGAAATAGAGGCCATTGTGTGGTCCAGAGACTGAGAGAAGTAGAGAAGTCAGAGTTCCTGGTTTCTTTTCCAAGATTTGTGAGGAATAGTTGAGGTAAGAGCTAGCAGGCAGAGTTCCTGGGCTCTGAAACTGGAGAATTAAGAGTGAAACCATATTACACTTCAGAGGGAAGTGTGGGTTTTTAGAGAACAGCTTGAACTTTCTCTGGAAAGGATGTTGTAGCAATAGAAGCAGATACTATGTGGAAACAATAAGCCCAGACTACTTTTCTCAGGATATTCTGTTACACTTGTGCATTAAGGTATCTGAAACTTTGCATTATTTAAGTAGATACTTTTTAATGCTTTCTCATAATTTCTGAGAACCTGAAAATTTCACAAGGAGAATTTGTTTTATGGAGCAATTTTTAGTCTTCTGACAATATAATTGCTTTCCTTATTTACTTTTCTGTAGACTCCTTCAAAACCATGTTGAAGTCTCAGGTGCTGGGTAGGCTCCATTGAATGCAGATATCATAGAATCATAGAATGGCCTGGGTTGTAAAGAACCTCAAAGATCATCTAGTTTCAACCCCCCTGCTATGCGCAGGGTCAATAACCACCAGCCCAGGCTGCCCAGAGTCACATCCAGCCTGGCCTTGAATGCTTCCAGGGATGGGGCATCCACAACCTCCTTGGGCAACCTGTTCCAGTGCCTCACCACCCTCTGAGTGAAAAAACCTCCTCCTAATATCTAACCTAACTCTCCCCTGTCTTATTTTAAAACCATTCCCCCTTGTCCTATCACTATCAACCCATATAATAAAATATGTTGTCATCAGCAGAAGGTCGTGGAATTTCCATTATTTTTTCTCTTTCTGTTTTCTGGGATTATTACTTGTTTTTCTTCTAACCAAGTGCCCTGTCTATCTGAGCAACAGTGCTGTGATGCCTATTCTGAGCACTTGGCAAACAATTGCTGCCATAAGAAAGGAGTGGCTTTTGTGGCGGAAAGAAAATAATCGCACAGCAGTGCTTCAAAGGATGCAAAGATAGAGTACAGTGGAATGCAATCTTCAAATATCATCATGCCTCCACCTGCTTCATGCATCAAAAGCTTTTGCTCTGTTTCCCCCTGGGTTATAGCATGAGATATTTCTTTTAATGGAAAATGCTATATAAGAGAAATTTCTAATTCCTGCATTTAAATATAAGGACAAGTAAATCGATGAGAAAACATCCTGAACGTAATTAAAAAAGAGAGCCAGAGCAGGAAAGAATTAAAAGTTATATTGGATACTGCTCTTCTATCAGGCTGATAAGAATTTAGAGGAAATGCTAGTCAGCATTTGAATGCAGGAGCACGGATGTGGCTCTAGTAAGTAAATCCATATTTCTGAGGCCCAAAAATATCGCAGAAAAAGCCTCAGTTGCTCCTGAAACAATCAGTCTTGAGGCAGTAAGCTTTGAGGAAAACCACATATCCTTCCATATTGTGAATGCTGCATCTCTTCTTGGTAACAAGGAATATCTGTCAGCGGGGGTTTGTAGTTTTGTTTTTCTCACTTAGAGTGTAGAGGAGACTTCTTTTCTTCCTCCTATGAAATAAAGCTACCTTATTATGATTGTACTTGTGATGATGTGAGACATCAAAATTTACTTGAGAAGTCTTTTCATAGAGCAGGATATATAGTTGTAAAAATTAGGTAAGCTTTTAAGGTATAGCAACATTTCATTGCTTCTCATTTCCTAATAAAATATCTTCATTGCTAGTCCTTGAGAATCCAGCTACCATTCTGTCTGCTCTTATTTAAAAGTTGTATGAAGAAATAGAACTGTGTTTTCTGTAGCGTTTTCTTTTTAGTGAGCGCTTCATTTTTAATAAATGGAAAACAGTCCTTCCTCTTAATCTATAATCTGGAATGATTTTGATTTGAAGTGCTATTGGAGAGCCTCCAGTTCCCAAACCCTCTGTCGTCAGGATCCCTGCACCCAACTTCAGCTCCCACAATGAATGTAATCATGCAACAGGCATCCGTCTTTAAATATGAACTGTGTCTGCAAAGAGTAGCAATCAGGATCCTTCATAGAACTGTGGTCTCAGAAGGCATCTGTCAAACCCAGAGGAATGAAAGGGTTAGATATGCAAAATACAGTGTGTAAAAGACATCATTCACAACTGAAAGTTGAAGGCTGGATTTTTAGCTTGTTTTTCTGTGTAAAATTTCAAACAAATCTCATTAGGACAAGAGAAGTCTGTTCAGTGGTTTATTTCTTCAAATGCATGTTTACAACGCTTCCAGGTGTTGTGACTGATAGATGAGGTTTGCTTTCAAATGTATGCTGTGCTCAAATGTAATATATGCGGTGCTCTGTAGGTTAGAGGCATAAAGTCCTTTCATTAGTTAATCTTGCTGCTATCCAGTTGTTTCCTTTTTGTTTTATGAGTACGAATAATCGGGAATGTATTGAGGTCCTTTTCTTATTCTGTAGACTTCTAGAATTCAGAATTTTTTACAAGCAAAGGAGGAGTTTTACAAAAATTTCCTTGCTTGTTGCTAATCTTGACTCCTATTTAATCTGTACACTTCTGAGATACACGAACATGACATTCTGTGTAAGTATTTAAAGTGTTCTCATCTGCTTTTGCCAGTGTAGGATGAGCAGTTTTTCTTGTAAGATAAAACTGGAGTAAAAGTGTTGTTTTTCGTTTGGTTGGTTTTGTTTGTTTCTTTGCTTTTGTTATTTTTTCTTTGTTGTCACCTTATTTAGTATCTAGGAGCTCTAATTATTAGTACTTCTAATTGTTTGGCTTGTGGTAGCTAAAAGGCAGTCTCCATCCCAAGGGAACTTTCAATCTCAGATGAAGGCAAAGAGACAACAGGGTGATTCAACAGACGAGAAGCCCAAGTTACCAGGGAGTTATTTATGCTCAGTGTAATAGCCATGAATGCAGCACATCAGCTAATTGGGCAGTGGGGAGTAGTTCACATCTTCTTCCAAAGTGTGAGTACTTGCATGTGTCAGCTCTGAGTCCCTGCTGCCATTTTACCCACCTTTGATGAGTCCCCTGGAGTTTCCATTCTCTGGCTGTGGTCCCAGGCTAAATCATCTGATGGCATATAATGCTGGCCTATGCATTAACCCATACTGAAAATCATAACTGGCTTTTTTTTTTTTTTTTTTTTTTTTTTTTTTAGATTCTAAAATATCACTAAAGTTATCTTATATATATTTATTTTTTGTTTTCACGTGTATTAACCAAGAAATTGTGTTTCCATGGCAGCAAAAATCCCCACTATGTAGTTTGTTCTTGTTTTGTTTTTCACTCTTGTGGCTGTGCCTGAAGGGATTGTTCTGTTGTCTTAGAGCTGTGTAGAGTTAGGAAAAACTTTCAGCTTTTTATGAGAGACAGCTGCAAAACAGATCAGCTACAACTCCAA